AGATCTTTATCAACTGACTGCCTAGTGGTGTTGCACCTTGGACATCTGGTGATGATGTCACATGCTAACTTCAGACAAGACAATGAATTCATTGAACTTAACTAATCCAACTCATATGGGAAATTGAAAGAATATAAAAATGAGAAAAATCATATGTTGTCATGGGGCTATAGTTAGTGGTACTACACCAAGGGGCTGAACTAAGACCATATATTTTATAACTTGTTAACATATGTCCTGTCATTTTGAAGATAAAAATATGTTTATGGTTTGTGCTTGATTTTAAGTTGGTGGCACTACGACAAGAGATTGAACTCCGAATGAAGAACAGTGTTAAGAATGGACAGACTGTCAGCTCTGATGTAAGATATGTAATTTCATTTCATTTATTTTTCTCTCAAAAGAAAAGCTTAACAAACCAAACAAATATTGCCATTGAAAACGGTGCTGAGAAGGGATTCCAAAAAAGTAAACCGAATTAATATCTAAGTTGGTCTCCTCAAACAATAAACATTCTACAAATTTCCACAGAGTTAGGATAATTTGTTACATTGTTTATTTTTAATAATTACACTACTTTGACAATTACTATTACACTAATAACTTTATTTGGTATACTTGAAGCTCAAAGAAGTTGTTTGATCATGTTATTGTATTACTATTTAGTATTGTCTTAAGATCATTATTTCAGTATTCAACTTATTTGGGAAATGTCAAAAGTTTGTTGGATAATTAATTTGAAATCACATTTTAATTTTTAATTAATTTTAATATTTTTCTATATGGTCATAGCTATGTATTTGTATCCTATTGCTGACTTTATTTATTGTTTGTTTTCTAGGTGATTTCTTTAAGTGTTCGTGGGCCTGGCATCCAACGGATGGTACTTGTTGATCTACCTGGTATTATAAGTGTGAGTCCTCTACACAATAAAATAATATAATATTAAAAAGAAATTTCTTTAGTTGGGGTAGCTTTAATAATATTTTGAGGCATGAAATAAAAACTTGATATTTATGTTAACAGACCGTGACGACGGGAATGGCAGCTGATACAAAGGAGTCTATACATGCCATGTTGACACACTATATGACAAACCCAAATGCAATAATATTGTGTATACAAGGTAAGTGTAGAGTTGATGAGAATTATAACAATAATAATAATTACAGTAGCATTAATAACCGTAACAACATCATCATAACAATTGATGCAATTGACCATCATCAGAATTCTCAAGATATTTTGAATGCTAACTTTGATGGATTTGGGATTATTGAAACTTAAAACATTAAAATTAGTTTTCATTAAAACTTCACAAAGCGTGAAAACTTTTTCAAAAAACATTTGAAAGCCTACCTGTTCTCGGAAGCATTTAAAATTTAACTTTGTCGAGCGCCTTTGAACGTTATTAATGGATATTGGTGCAATATAAATGCATTTGATTGATTGATTGATAGTGTTGATATGGATTAGTTTCTACAGTAAGGTTATCAATAAACTATACTATACGCATTTTCAGATGGTGCAATAGATGCAGAAAGGAGCATCGTTACAGACTTGGTGTCGGATATTGACAAGGAAGGCAAACGTACAATATTTGTACTTACTAAGGTTGACCTTGCAGAAAAAGCCGCCACTAACCCTAATAGGGTAGGAACAGAACACATGTCTCTGATTATACCGAAGTATTTATAATTGTTTGATGTCAGAATCACCATCTGTAATGGCAATTTTGAATACAGTGTTAATATTTTAAGGTTCTAAACTAATTTTCATGTAATTTATTTTGTAGATAAAGCAGATCCTTGATGGTAAACTGTTTCCAATGAAGGCCCTTGGCTACTTTGCTGTTGTAACTGGTAAAGGTAAGTTAATATCAGTGTAAGACAATAGATGTCACTGCAAATTACTGTATGACAGAAGTGTGTAACCCATGAGGTATGAATATGTACCTCTCTCATACAGTACACAGAAGTTGCATTGCAGTTTACTACGGTATATGACAGAAGTCCTTAATCCATGTGGTATGTACCTCTCTCAGACAGTACAGCAGTTGCATTGCAGTTTACTATATGACAGAAGTCCTTAATCCATGTGGTATGTACCTCTCTCATACAGTACACAGCAGTTGCATTGCAGTTTACTATAT